CGCGGCGTGCCGCGCCCCCCAGCCAGTCCCCCAAGCCCCTCATGGTCCACATGCGGAAATACGGCGGCATCACCAGCTACGAGAACACGGCCATCGAGGTGGACCGGGAGATGGAGGAGGAGGAGGAGTCCATGATGTGACGGGACCCTGCAGGCTGGGAGGGGGCTCACCCCCCGGTTCGCACAGGTTGCACTGTGGCACTTCAGGACAGCCCCAGGGGGTGTTTTGGGGAGCAGTTGGGAGCTGCTGACCCTGCCGGTGTCCTCACCACCACCCTGACCCAGCCGGGATGGAGCTGCTGCCTGTCCTGGTGCTCCGAGGTGTTTCTGTTCGGTGTGACAAACTGTGTGACAAGTCTGTGTGCTCCTGTGATGGTGTCCAGTTGAAGTGTTCAGGCTGCCCTTCTCCCACCATCAGCCCCAGCCTTGCTCTCCCCATGCAGGGATGATCTGGCTACAAGGATGCGCTGGCTACAGGGGTGCTCCGGCTGCAGAGATGTTCAGGCTGCAGGAGGTGGGGAGGAGGAGGAGGATATCCTCTGCATTGGTCTGTTCTCTACCTGTGTGTGTTTAATTCCAGTAACCCACAAACATGTGTGAGAAAAGACTGTAATATCCTCCGTGCCCTGAGCACAGTGTGTGCCAGAGGTACTGCAGCAAAACCAGCACAATCAGTGTCCTGCTCAAGAAATCTGACCTAAAAAATGAGCAGTTGAAGCAATTAGAAAGAAGAAATAATAAAGCTTTATAAACAAACCAGCTTGCAGATCCCTCAGGGACCTCAGTGGGTCAGGGCAGCTCTTCCCCATGGTGCCTGGTAGGGCTGGGGTGAGCTGTGCTCCGTGTGTGCAAGAGATCAGAGACGTCTCAGATGGACCCAGTGCCAAAGGAGGATCTGTTCCCACCCCCAAGGAGATCCAAGGGTGCTGCTTTTCCCAGGGAAAGAAGGGCTGTGTTTCAGTGCCTGTGTGTTACTTCAGGGTGGCTCACAGGGCCCATGTCCCAGACACCACATCTCCTGCCCATGCTGCTGTCCTGGGAAGTGCCAGTGAGGTCCTGCACGGGGCTGCCGGGACCCAGTGCTGCCAGTCCCCATCACCCCAGTGTCATGTGCGCCTTCTCCCGTGTACCACCAGCTCGCCATTAAAAAGCAGTGTGTGACACAGCTTCTGCTTGGGTTCTTTGGGGGTGCGCAGCATACAAGAAGGGCACATCTATGGAGACTTCCAGTGATGGGGGGCACAGCTCTCCTGTGCTTTGTCCTGGTCAAGTAGAAACCAAAAATCCAGGATAAACAGAAAAATTAGTGTTTATGTCTGGATGATGCAAGTGGCCCCGGTGCACTGGGCTATGAACCCCACGGGCCATACAGCCCGTGAGTGAATCCTGGCACAAGGCTGCAGTTTTCCTGAATGATTGTTCCTATAGTGGGGATTTCAATTACTGCCTTTGTCCTGCCCAGCCATCTCCTCGTGCACAGGGATGCTGAGCTCCCTCCCTGGCCACTTCTGCCCTTCTTTTTCCCTTCAGGACCACCGATGGCTTTCCGCATCCTCCTCAACTGACCCCACCATGGCTGCAGCCTGCAGGGATGATGGGGTTCCCCCAGCCCCAGCTTCTCCATGCGTGTGGGGCTCACGACTGTGCTGCAAAGCACCTTCGGCCGCTAGGCAGGGTTAATCATTAGAGACCAGCCATAAAAGTGTCGCTGATGGAAAGTTCAGGCTGTGGTGGCTGGGCAGCGGGGAGGGCCTGCCATAAACGTGGCACCCTGCCATAAACGTTTAGTGCCCCAATGAATCCCTCGCTCTAACCTTGACACTATTTACCAAGCAGGAGGCCTCAGCAGGTCACGGTGTTGCCCAGCCATTGCTGGGGTGCTGGCCGGGGAGCCCAGGCTGCGTGGCCCCAGGAGGGGCACACACAGGGGTCTGCTTGGTGTGATGGGGACAGTGATGGACTCGGGTGTGTGATGTTGCTGATGGCCACAATGTGCCAGAGCAACCAGGAGAGCCTGATGCTGTCCCACAGCACGGAGGTGGAGGTGCTTTGGGCTGACCAAGGTGGTCTGTCTCTGCATGTCTCTGACCTTTTTCTGCCTGCATGGGTCCTGTCACACTCCCCAGATCCCCACCCTGTAATCCTGGGATTCTCAGGACTCCTTCTTGGCAGCTGCTGTCAATCCATGCTGTGCTGCAGAGTGATGGGAAGGATGGAGCAGAGGCTACACCAGGGATGTGTTGGGGAGCAAAGCCGACGGCAGTGAGGGGAAACCAAGGGCAAAAGGTGCTGGGGCACTGGCACAACAGAGGACACATCCCCAGGGCC